ATTGGTTTTTGAAAGATTCCTGTGATGTCACAGCTGAAAAGTTCATTTTGAATGTGAAAAATAATCCCTCAGCAACAACAAAAATTGTAAATGGTTTTCCTAACTTGGCTACAAGAGCCAAGTTACAGAGTTATAAAAAGAAAAAAAAAAGAGAGAAGACAGTGATGCTATGTATTAATCCTATGATTAAAAATATCAAAATCACATGTGTTGGGCCAATTGATTAGAGGTTCCCTAATCATTGCCTAAATCTGCATTCAGATACTGCCCCTTACTAGCCGTGTCATGTTGGACGATGGACTTAACATCTTTAAGCACTGGTGACTAAAGGGGCTCTTGTAAGAATTAAGTGAGTTCTTTGACTTCAAAGCCTTTAGTACAATCTTAGCATGTGGAAAACAAAGAATTAACTATTACTCCTGGAGCTGGGATGCTTATGCTGATGATAATTAATGAGGTTGCTCCCAAACCATTGTTTAACATATTGCCTTTGAAGTGGTTACTGTCCTACATTTGGAGAGGTGTTATCCTGTCCCTTTGTCACCTGATTCACAATTTGAATAGCAAGTATTTTAAGTAATTTAAGCTGTTTAAGGAAATGTACCAAAACAATTCAAATTATACCTCTGCAAGGCGACAATAAAAAGACACAAAAGGGACGCAGACTCTTCCTCTCAATGTGTGTGTGTGAGTGTGTGTGGTTCTGAGTGTTTGTAGTGGAGTAAGGAAAAATATTAATCTTGGCAGTTAGTAAGGTGAGGAGGTGTCTATTTTATTATTATTTTTTCTCAGAATACATCTCTTCTCCAACCCCAAGTATCTACTTACATAGTTGATATGTTGTTTGTCAAAGCTAATGATACAACAAATACAAGGAGAGTGCACGCTGTAGTTTCTTGGTGGATCTGGGCACCCATTCCCACCTCACTGTCACAGGACAGTCCTCCTTCACATAGACTGGACATACGGTACTTGTGGTACATATATGGCCATTTCTGTACTTAGAAACTTCAGGAATCAACCTCAAGTGTTTGAAATGTTTGCTTAAACATCACTTGCTTAATCAGGCTTTTAGCTGATTGCTACACAGTTCAATGTTCGCTTTATGCACGTCTAGAGGATACTGTTATAACGCACTCTATGCATTGCTGCTGAAATGTCCATTATTATCCAGGGGTCTTGTTTCCTTTGGTCATATTCTCCTAACTGCTGTGGAGCAGAATAAGTACTTGAGGGATTGTTCTTCAAATTACTCAGAAAATATGTGAGCTTCCAAGAGAACTTTCTGAAGGAATACAACATAGGTGTTTGAAATTGGAGTTCTGTTTCAGAGCCTCACTTAAGTCATAACTTTAAAAGCCATTAACGGTCATTTGAAGTGCTTCCTGATGTGACTACGAATAAAAATCAAAGCATGGCAAAATAACCAAGCAACAAACCACAGGTATCTCTTAATATTTGTGATTATTACATCGGAGTGAAGAACTCGAAAAATTAATTAAAAAGTCTGACTGGCACTCTCAGTCCTCATGTGTAACAATGAGCAAGATAACAGGTACAGGAGGATATTCTATAAGTGCTTCAAATCATCAACTCAGACATATAGCTCAAAGTACGTTAATAATCTCTACACAAAGAAACTTAAATCCAAACAATTCATATAATTCACATGTGTCTAATGTATAAGCAAGAATATTGTTATTTTTTAAACTATTTATTTATTTATTTATTTATTTATTTATTTATTTTGCGAGAAAGAGAGAGCACATGTGCATGTTCGTGTGTGAGCACGAGTGAGGGAGGGGTAGAGAGCGAGAAAGAGACTCTTCAGCAAGTTTGAAAGCCAGCGCAGAGCCTGACTTGGGGCTCGGCCTCACTAACCTGACATCGAGACTTGAGCTGACATCAAGAATCAGACACTTAATCAACTTAGTCACCCAGGTGCCCCTTTTGTTTAATTTCAGTACATAGTTTTCCCTCACTAATTGTAAGTTCCATGGAGGCAGGAGTTTTTGTCGAATGTATTCAATGCTGTCTCTACGTATCTAGAACAGTTCTTAACATATAATAGGTGCTCAATAAATACTCATTTTATGAATGAATGATCTCATACATAAGTTTGTTTCTTGCTACACCCCTGGGATTACCATGGCCTCAACTCTTCGCAGTTCCTCAATAAATGGCAACCACCTTGGAGTCTGCCCACGCATCCATTTGGGAACATTACCGTGACAGTTGACTGGACACATCTCCAAATGACAGTTGATGGGACACACCTGGTTAATTCTCAGAAACTTTGCCAGACTTTATAGAGTTCATATTTTTAAAAAATACATTTTTCTTTTCAAGGTGATGCCACATCTAGATGATAAAGTAAGGTCCTGTGACAAGAATAAACTCAAACTTCCTGAAGAGTCAAATAAAATATTATTTGCCAATTCCCAAGCACTGCTTCACCAAAACTTATAGGTTGTTTAAGAAAAATTGTTCATTAGAATTTTTCTAGCAGACACCTAATAGTTTGTTTGCTAACAAAACTTCATGCTGAGAGCTATACTGAAAAATTTTTATTTAAATCATTGACAAGAGTGTACAGATTTTACTTCAGAATGATACAAAGTATGGACAGCAATTAATACTTGTGTTTAAGTCAATATGTTGTTTCCTATACACAATTAACGTAAAATGATCACTCCTGTCTTTAAGTATCTAGACAGAGGAAATATGCCCAATAATATATACTGAATCCTAAAAAAATGCTCTTTTCTCTCTGAAAAACATCATAAAAATATTTGACTTCATATCCTATATGTATTCTTCTTACATCAGATCATGATTTTTTTTTTTTGTATACACTCAAGGTCCTTGCCATGTGAATGCCGCCCACTGTATCTCTCAATCCAGAAATTTATTTTTATTTTTATGTTTCTATCTCAACAGAATCTCTCAACTCCATCTGTTTCTATCGGTACTGCTTGATTGTGGCCTAGTCATGCTCTGCTTCCCGAGAGTATGTCAGTAACCCCTGACTCCTTTTCATCTTTAGTTTCGCCAGATGTGCTGGTGTTATTCTTCTCGCCTGGACCTCATGCCTCAAGACTCAACATTCCCATCCTTCCTCTATGCTAATGTTGTCCACACTGCAACCAGAGTGATCTAGAAAAGCAAACCACATCTTGTTGGTTCCTAGTTTATATCTTTCCAGTGTATTCCCTTTACACTGAGAATGAAATCCAACTCCTCAGCAAGGCCAGGATGATGAGGGAGATGCGGCCCCCACCTTCTTGCCTCTCATTCTCTGTGTTCCAGCCTAGACTTTAGCATAACAACACTTATTTTACAGATGAGCAAATGGAAGCTTAGAGAGGTTAAATGTATTCAAGATTACACAGCTGATCAATAACACAACTCAGGTCTATTTGACTCCAGAGAATACACTCTTACCCAATGCTACAAAACTCACATTTCTTCCTCTATGGAACACTCCTAGATATTTTAATTCGCAGAAAGGTATTGTACCTTTATTAGTGCTTAACATTAGATTATTAATTATAATTGCATCTTTCCCTGCAAACTTTGGGCTTCACAAGGCACGTCCTAGTACAATTTTGGTATAATGCCTAGCATATCATAGACCATAGGTAACAATTTTTGGGTAATTGATTAGTTATTCTGTGCTATAATTAATTAATAGAAGGCAGAAACATTGTAGATATGTTATAAATATTTAAATAAAATATGTTTTCCTGAATTCTGACATTCAATCATAACAGAAAGCTGAGAAGCCCAACACGCTATTTTTTTTCATTACCAACAGTCATTTTTATTATTTTAGTGTGTTGACTCGAAAGAAAAACAAAACAAAACAAAATTCTAGAAAATACTTGTTAGTTCTGGAAGCACAAATAAAATCAAACCATCAAAAACATTCATTTAATAGATGGCAAATTCAATACTATGAGAGAGTTTAAGACTTCAAAAAATCATAGACTGCCTCTGAAGGTGTTTTGATTTTCCTGTCACTCAAATTGCTAAAATAAAAATAGGAACACATGACAAGTGCATAGAAAGCCATAATTTTACTGACATATCCACAAAATCTTGAGGATTCAAGACAGTAGAAAGAAATTTCATAGACTTTATTAGAGTCCCCGATGGTTGGACAAAGGTCTTCCTGTAATGGTTTTATTTGTCAGCAGAGACTTGATAGAGGAACAACATCTTTGGAGGGGGTCAGTATTCTAGATAAGAGAATTGGCATATTAATTTCTGACTCAAAGAGAAATTAAAAAAAATATTTTTAAGTAGGGATTAATTAGTCATTTCAAAAGCAATCATTGTTAGCTAGATGGTGTGGGCAGAAATGGATGGATGGGGAAGGGCATTTGGGTTGACAATAGCCAGGTGAAAATCTTTATAGTCTCACTATTGAGGAGTTGTGATTTAAAGACATTTTTTTAATGTTTATTTATTTTTGAGAGAGCAAGCACGAGTGGGGGAGGAACAAAGAGAGGGAGACAAAGATCCCAAGCAGGCTCTGAGCTGACGGGAGTGAGCCACATGTGGGGCTCAAACCAGGAGATCATGACCTGAGCTGAAGTTAGACGCTCAACAGACTGAGCCACTCAGGCATCCTGTGAGGAGCTGTGATTTGATGAGAGGTACGTTTCTATCCAGAAATTAGGTAATGGTGGTTTTCCGCTCATTGCACTGTTAGCCAGGAGTTTCTTCCAGTGTTCAACTCCCTCACCAATTCCTTTGTCTGTGCATGGAATTTAATTTACCACAGACACTTTTTTAAAGCCAATTCTAAGAGTTTAGTGAAATTTCTCCTCCTGTTCTCCCCACAACATATAGGAGCAAACATCCAAGAAACTCTCAATCTCTCTTATTCACAAGGAGGCTTAACAAGTGCTCTAGGTACATCAGAGAGACTTCACTGTGACACAATAATGGGCCTCTGCCCCAGGAAAGATTAGAACTCCAAAACCCTTTTTCCTTGCCTCTTGAAGGATACTTTTATGTTTGACAGGGAGTCAAGATCCTGTCTATACCAGAAGTAAAGGCATTCCGGCATATTTACACTGTGAGTGTTCCCCCCAAATACTGATATATAATAATGCAATTTCAATAACTCAAACATTTTCACTTCTCCTAATTGAGTTTTATATATACTCCATTGGTACACTCAGTTGATATAAGGTGACCAATAGAGTTTATTTATGGTGACCACAACAGTTGTCTATTAACTATAAATGGGTCAGAAATTCTGCAGGTTGGTCTGAGTCATCTAATATTTTACCATTTACCAGGAGGTGTCCTCTGAGCAGCATCAGCTTCACCTGGAGTTTGCTAGAAATGCAGGTCCTCGGAAGCCCCTGGGTGGCTCAATTGGTTAAGCATCAGACTTTAGCTCAGGTCATGATCTTGTGTTTGAGTATGAGCCCCGCGTCAGGCTCTGTGCTGACACCTCAGAGCCTGAAGCCTGCTTTGGATTCTCTTCCTCTCTCTCTCTGCCCCTCCCCCACTTGCACTCTGCCTCTCTCTCAAAAATAAATAAACATTAAAAAATTTTTTTTAAATAAAAAAGAAAATGTAGGCCTTCAGCCTCACTGCAGCCCAGATATTTGCATTGACATTAAAGTAAAAGATGCCCAGGGCGCCTGGGTGGCGCAGTCGGTTAAGCGTCCGACTTCAGCCAGGTCACGATCTCGCGGTCCGTGAGTTCGAGCCCCGCGTCGGGCTCTGGGCTGATGGCTCAGAGCCTGGAGCCTGTTTCCGATTCTGTGTCTCCCTCTCTCTCTGCCCCTCCCCCGTTCATGCTCTGTCTCTCTCTGTCCCAAAAAATAAATAAACGTTGAAAAAAAAATTTTTTTAAAGTAAAAGATGCCCTGTTCTAGGCAGAGACTCTGTGGCTGTTTGTGGTGACAGACCAGTGTGTCTCCCTCAAGCCAAGCTGCCCCATCCATTGTGGACTGATATGTTGGCAAAAGACCAAATAATAAATTTCTAGAAAAGTTAAGTTACAAAACAATGAAAATAATATTTTTAGATGCCAAGTTTTTCATGTGTATGTGCTCTACAGTTAATTTTGCAATCTTTTCTTTGTACATATGTATGAATCAATATGAAAGGGACATATACAAGAAAAACTTAAAAATAATGAATATAATGAATAGCATGACATAATGCATAACATAACCATATTAAACATAATACCATTTATAGAGTGTTTCTATGTGCCAAGAATTCATTGTGCTCTATAGTTTCACATAGTATATCATGAGACCCTCATGATTCTCTGAGAGTTTGTCCAGTTCATATGCCCATTTTGTAGATAAATAGGCTAAAGTTTAAGTTAAACAACTGCCTGAGGTCACACAGCTATAAAGTATGGATCCCACATTTGAATCCAAGTTCTGTGTAGCTTGAAAGCCTAAAACTTTTGCCTTCTCAATACCTCAATCTGATCTTTCCAAAGAAGAGGGAAATCCAGAGAAAACATGTATGCTGTATTATTTCTAGAAAGTTAGAAGACTTTCTGCTATTACATGCTATTGATGCTATTACAACAATGCTTTCACTCTACCCTCTAGGCTCATTTCTGTTAGTGTCACTGTAATACAATTGATTGTAAGGGACTTGCTAGGCAGAAATAAAACTGCTGATTTTGGGGAAAGTGGGGATGGAGAGAGAGTGGTTGAAAGTGAGGATGGTTCATTAATAGGATAAACACTATAATGTATTACTCAAAGGAATAAAAATCTTATCTTGAGCTTTACAGTGATATCATTATCAAAGAACTCCCTAGAGTGGGGAGATATGTAACAAAGGACAATTTTGGGAAATAATATACAATTTGGGAAAGGAGTTATTTGCGTCAATATGTATGCTTTCAGCAAAATAAATAAATAAAGTCCAAAAGTTAACAGATCCCATATTTAATACTTATTTCTTTTTTTTAATGTTATTTTTAAAGTTTATTTTTGAGAGAGAGAGAGATAGAGAGAATGAGCAGGAGAGGAACAGAGAGAGAGGGAGACACAGACTCCAAAGCAGGCTCTAGGCCCTGAGCTGTCAGCACAGAGTCCGAAACAGGACTCGAACCCACTAACCACGAGATCACAACCTGAGCTGAAGTCTGATGCTTAGCCAACTGAGCCACCCAGGCGCTCCTCAGTGGAGATGAACTTCTGACATCTTTAGAGCAAGAATTAGGTTTCATTATTTTTATCTATTCCCACATCATTTGAGGAGAGCTGCTTTCTAGTGAAGATTATACAGGCAGGCTCCTCCATGGCCTCCCTTGTCCTCTGAGTGGCACCTGTGCTCAGACCTGAGTACTGACCTAATGTTCAAGGTAAATCTATTCTTGGTGATATCTGATGCAGTCTTCAATGTGATTATTGATTCTGGTCATTCAAGACACTCGCCACCTACCATGCCAGGGATGGCTGTCACTGAGCTATAGTTTTTACATAGAGCTCATTTTATTTTCCTCCCATCATTCTTTTCTCCTATGGGAGAGGAAATATTACACAATTTTCAGTAGATTAGAATTAGCGATCTATCTGCTTTGCAAATGATATATTAAAGATAAGTGTGTAGAGAATGTGTAGAGACCAGCATTTCATCTGAGCAATAATCTAACAGTAATACTACTGTAATAGTGCTCCTACCACTTGTTAATTGAAAATCAATTGGTTTCCATGTCCAAAATGCTGCAATTACCTGGAAAACTACATCACACCGACAACATTTTCTTATGTGTTATTCAGACCCTGACAATTAAATCAGAAATGCAACATATTAATTCTCAAGGCCCTCATCCTTCGGTTGTTTCCCACTTCATCTTTATGATTAATTCAAAGATGGTCTGGCTCAGGGAATATCACACAACTCTGACCAACAGATATTTACAAAATAGAAATGAGGTGCTGCAATTTTTTAGAATTTGGTGCTAAAATTTTTGTCAATGGGTGTTTACAAAATGTGAATGAAGTGCTGAAAGTGTTGAACTTTCTGGGTAAGGGAAATTTGTACATTTTGTTGGTATCTATTAGTCAAAAGACACAAGTACAAAAGGGGGAGGTAATGTGTTAAATATCTTCAAAATTACCAAAGTTATAACTGGACATGAACTTAGAGATAATTTGATTTCAAACTCCTCAGTTTGCAGGTTGAAAACAAATGCAGATGGATGAAATGGCCAGTGAACTAGTTAGTCAATATTCTTTCTTCTCTTGTTGGATTTACAATATTCAACTTGACAACAACAGAAGTTTAGTTAGAACCATATTGTACTCGATTAGGAAATTTGGTTGTAGTTTCAGAGAATATAGGATTTATTCTGAAAAAGTGTAGCGTGCCCAGCGGTTTCTCTGCTTCTTCTCTTTCTCTTTTGTTTTTAAAAAGTTCTTTCAACAGCATAGCAGATTGGGCTGTTTCTTTATCCAGTTGCATCACTATTTAGGGGTCTTCTTTAAGAAATGTTTATTATAGAGGCACCTGGGTGGCTCAGTTAAGAATCAGACTTCGGCTCAGGCCATGATTTCACAATTGTGCTCTGTGCTGACATCTCAGAACCTGGAGCCTCCTTGGGATTTTGTGTCTCCCTCTTTCACTGCCCCTCCCCTGCTCGCATTCTGTCTCTCTCAAAAATAAATAAACATTACCAAAATTTTTTTAAATTTATTTTATTATTATTAGCCCCATTTAGTAGATGAAGAAGTAGGAAATCTTATCAATATTTTCGGTGTCCAATAGAATATAAACAATGGAACAAAGCCTTAAATCTTCATCTTATAACTCCAGATCTCTGGTTTAAGCTCCCTACAATTTCTTAAGTGTTAATATTCACTTACATCTGAATAACAAGACCAAAAACAACTGCCTGGGCTTAATAGGGTGAAAATGCTTTTGTCCTTGGAACGCCAGAGTTGTCTGATTTTATCCCTAGTACATGGACTAGGAAGGTAAGATGTACCTAATGACAGTGAGATAAAATGACTCATGGCACTGTGCTTTTGGAGCAAAATGGAGTTCGAGAGCTGGAATCCCAGCCATCCAGTATTTTATTACATGGTCACAAGTGTCACTGTGTGTAAGAAACAGTGAAACAAGTCTGCTTTAACCCTCTTTGGCACAGGGATATGTGCCAAAATACCTTTTGAAAGTGTAAAGAATGTTTTTACTGATCTCCTGCATATCTTTCATATTCAATATTGTGTTTATATAAATCTATTTCTGAAAGAAGAGTCTTAATGATACTTTAAGTGAATGAATTAACTAAAATTTAGTATGCTATATATATATATATATATATATATATATATATATATATATTACTTGAAAAAAGCTATTTAGAAGCTATTCCAAAATCATCCAATCTATAAATTCACATTTATAGAATCTATCAAGAAGCATTCTGGCTAGATAATAATTTTGTATTTTGGAATGAGAAACATGAACTAGAATTGATATAGCGCAATGACTTAAAACTTTATAAATCTCTTTTTTTTTTCTTTGGTCCTAGTTGCCAGAGAAGCACATTCATTTAATCTTTATCAGAAACTGGAGTTGGCTTTCAACAGCAACCTTCCGGTAGCTTATCTCATTTCCTAAAGTGAATTTTTTCAGAGGTATCACAGGGCTAAACGTGTATAAAATATCAATTACTGTGTTTCTCATCGTTGGGTGGGTCTTTATAGATTTCAAAATGTCACAAACTTTACGCCGATCTTACAACCAGCCACTGGGTATTTATTTATTTTTTAATTAAATTCAAAAATATTTCTTTATTTAAATTATTTATTTTCTAGCTTATTTATTTATTTTGAGAGTAAGAGAGAGAGAGTGTGAGTGGAGGAGGGGCAGAGAGAGAGGGAGAGAATCCCAACCAAGCTCGGGCCCCATCTCACGAAGCTGAAGCGAGATCATGAAATGAGCCGAAATCAAGAGTTGGCCGCTTAACCAACTGAGCCACTAAGGCCCTTATGTATTTATTTTTTTTAAAGTAATCTGTACACCCAATGTGGGACTCAAACTCATAACCCCAAGATCATGAGTAGCATGCTCTACTGACTC